CTTCAGTTCCTTGCTTTACGGGTAAGACAAGTATTTATTGTATTCACATGAGATAAAATCTAGATTTTCCCCTTATAGCTTACTCTCTCCTATAAACCTGTTTATGAACTAGATTTTGTCTTTCTTGTATTTTCTTTGCTCAGGAATTATTTGGTGAAAGTTTATGGGTATGCTGTAGAAAGACATAGGTTTAGAAGGAGTAGATTCACTGGAAATAGACAAGAAAGGATGTGTTACAGAGTTAAGAGAGAACAATGTGATCTTTAGTCAACTAATTAAATTCCCCTCCTAATCCATATCTTCTCTAGTGCCATGCTCCCTGATATGAATTGGCACAGAACTAATGATGAGAGCTGGGATTAAGAGCTGGCCGAGCAGCCTTCTGTGACTGCCTGACTTATACTGATATATTCATTCATTCATTCACTCATTCAGTCATTCAAGTATTTAGTTGCCAGTCCACATTGCTGGAATTGAGAATACAGTGACTAGTAGCTTCCTGGTTGCTCATGTTGGAAAGTTTTTTTTTTAATGTTTTTTTTTAAAGATTTTTAAAAAAAAATTATTAGAGAGAGAGAGAGAATGAGTGGGGGGAATATCAGTGGGGAGTCTGCTTCTCCCCACTGAGCAGGGAACCAGATGTGGGACTTGATCCCAAAAATCCAGGATCTCAACCTGAGCCAAAGGCAGACCCTTAATCAACTGAGCCACCCAGGTGCCCTCTTACTGGAACATTTTTAAAGTTTTTCTGCCCTACCTCCAAAATCCACTGTGTCCTTTGGATTAGTAGAAGGAACACCAGATTCATCTGAATGAAGGAGCATCTATCTACATGTGGACATAAAAAGGCCAGAAGTCCACAACCTTAGTGGAATTTGGGGAAAGCTGATCAAGGATGGAGACCAGGGAATTTAAAGGACAGAATTCCCATTCCATTGACTGTGTTTCCTCAATTCTGCAGGCATTCTGACAGCTTCAGATTTTTGAGTTTGTTTCACCTGATATTATTTCATTGTTACCCCTCCTTTACTCCTAAGCTGTAGTTGAACTGGTGGTGTGTTTTACACTTGAAGATCTCTTAGAACTGAGGAGGTAAGTGCTACAGGCTGGAGCTTCTCATCAGGAGTGTAGACTTGAGGCTTCATTCAAAACTCATCTTCATTTTCCCTATAATTTGTAATTTGAAAAATATAGAATAGGGAATTTTCTGTAGGATTAGTATTAAGACATTTTTTTCTGTTATATATAACACATTTAATAATGTTTATTGTGGAAAGCATGGAAACTATAGAAAAGCATAAACAAAAAAATGAAATCAGACTTCCTCAACTCATACTCAGTGTTTTGTTTGTATTTTGGTGAATAATCCTGGTCTGTCTCCCTCCCTCCTCCTTCCCTCTTTCTTTTCTTTTCCTCTTTCCTTCCCTCCCCGCTTTCTGTCTCTAAATCTATCAATATATCAGTCTCATGTCTATGGATTCCCCCTCCCCCCAATTTTCCATTTTTACTGTATTTACTACTTTATGTTTATCCTGCAGTTAACATTGTGTGGGAAATACTCTCCCATAGTTTTAAATATTTTAAAAAAACATTTTAAATTTAATTATATGTCACAATTTAATGCATCTGTTAGATATTCAAGCTGGTGACAGTTGTTTTGTTTTAGTAATTATAAATAATCCTTTAAGATCATCTTTGGGCATAACACTTTTTTGTGACTCTGGTCATGTTTTTTAGATCTTAGAACTTGTATTGCTGGTCCAAAGGGGGATAAGTATTTTGAAGGTGTTTGATGCACATTACAGAAATATCCTCCTGAATGGTTACCTAATTTAAACTTTCACTTCTTATATAGGAATGATTGGGGGCTCTTTAGTTAATGGAATTTTCATCAGTGATCTTGGAGATGAACAGAATTTAGAATTCAGGATTATAATTCAAAACAGTTTTGACAATTTAGAGAATTGGTTAGTTGATACATATTAAAGTTCAGTAGGTAAAAGTGAGGTTTAGGAGAAATAGGGCAGGTAAAAATTGCCAAAATACTGTTTGCAGAGTAGCCATTTCTGCATGTACTGGTTGAAGGAGAATATAGGGGTCATAAGAAATCTGACCAGATTTCTTTGTAGCCCTATGGGGACTTTGCTATGGTAAGGTCTATTCCCAAATGTAAAGAAAAAGAAAGCTCATTTGAGCGAATGCTGTATTCTAAAAAAACTGTTAAAATTTTGTGTTTTCTGCTGTTAAGAATTCAAAGACACTAAATACCTTCTTGAGGAACATTTAATGTTCATTTTAATTATTTATGATAATTATTTGAGCATAAATTGAATTTTAAAAAGGCTTTCTGAAAGTTACTATGGATCTTTCCTCATTTAAGTAGAGAATATGTTTAGGAAGCTCATATTTTTTTCCATGAAATTTCAGGGGAAATAGAATTTACCTTGCAAATGGTACTTTGAGGATAGGAATGTTATCCTTAGATAAAAATGGCATATGTTTATAAACACACCCACACACAAATATGAGGAAGCAGTTTAAAAGGCCTCCTTTTTTGTAGGTTATAGTTCTATGTGTGTTTGAGTGTAATTTGTATGGTAGAAGGCTGTACCAATATATCTATTAGCAATCACTTCTGTTCGCTTGTGGTACAATTCTAATTAATGTTCAGATAAGTGACCCTGGGATAGTTAGAATCCAGAAGGACTTTATAATTTGTTCTTTTTTTGTTGACTGACATTCAGCATGGTTTTAAGACTATTAGCAAATCACATATGATGACTTAAATATCAGAGCATTTAATTAATCAGCTTACTTAAATCAATTAATTAAAAATCTTTGCAAGATGACAGGGAGTTTTCTGTGATTCTATTATCCAGAGAATTTTGTCCTCTCGTGCTAATAAACAAGTTTTTTTTCTTCTTAGTTTTTAGCCTAGATTGCCACGATTCATAATTGAATATCAGCTCATTTTCTACCCAAAACACTTTAAATAGGTCATTATTTTCCATTATTGTTATTATTGTTATCTTTAGTCAATACTGTTATATCTGATGGTCGACTTACTTCTTTAGGGAGGGTCATCCCTGCTTTCTGCATTCTGCCCACAGGTGCTCCTCTCCCAAAGTACTGAGAGGCAGGGAGTCTGGCCCCCATTGCTGACACAGCAGATGAGGGATGAACCAACTGAGTGACATGGTTTCTGTGAAACTAAAATAGGTGCAGCTATAATTTTAATTAGTTGGTCTATCTTCACAGCATTGAGTCTTGGGATATTATGTAGCTTAACTGTGGTAACTATACTTTGCTTTTGGAAATCTGTTATTCATAATTTTTTTTCTAATTATAATTCCATACATGTTCATAGCCAAAAATTAGGAAAATTTAGAGAACTGTTGGTGAGAAAATAAAAATCATTGATAATTATATAGTAGAGATAAATCCTGTTTACATTTTTTGTATTTCCCATATTTTACATAATTGGGATCGTACTGTACATATAATTTTATGTCCTCACTGGTTTTCCACTCAGCATATCATTAGTAGTTTCTCATGGTAATTAAAAATATCTCTGAAAAACCCTATCTTAATAGATGATATTCATTTGAATGGATGATATTCATTTGAATAGATGACCAACTTAACTATTTGGTTGTTGGTCCTAGTTTCAATGATACATTATTCTGTTATGAACATATCATACATACATTTTTGTGTTGATCTCTGATTATAATAAAACAGTATTGCACTTCCTCTTAGATTGTGTATTTTCAGTGTTAAGCTATAGAATACCAGATAGGTACACAGTTTTGTAGGTTGTGATAAAACCTCTGAAAAGGTTTTATATGATGGAATATGAATTGTTCTTTGAAGGATACATACCCAGGACTTTGGCAGCTATGAGAGTCAGGGAATCACAACCAGGGAAAATTCAGGAGCAGCGATGTGAATGGGAATGAAATTAGGCTGAGTGCATCTGTTTGGATGATATGATTTAACCACAGTGGAAGGATAGGCTCTAGAAATTGGACAACATAAAGTTTGAAATGTGGAGTAAAGAATTTGAATTTGTTAGACTGGATCTGGCAACCAAAGGTCCTAAATTCTCTGGAGCCATTGTACTATTCATTACGAAATCTTTATGTAGCACATTTTATGGGCAAAACTCCCCCTTGTGGAGGCCCACAAGGGGTTTCATACTTCAGTAAGGGTCATAGTATTTGTCCAATGAATGCAGTGGTCTGTCATGTCCTTAAAATTACAGACCTCAATACAGTGCTGATTTGGAAAAGTTTGCTCATGGTGGCAATTGGAAATCTTTGGAGGTGCAGAATCAGAGCACAGCTACAACTTAAATGATGCCAATATTTTAAAGATTGTTCTCAGTATAGATTGGAGGGGCCTGGTTAAAGGCAGGAATAGTAACAAGTAGGTCATGGTTCATGAAGGAATGCAGCAGGGCTGGGAAGCAAGGACTCTAAGACTTAGAAGAGTGGGTCCGAGGAGAAAGGTTTGCATTTAAATGATTTAACTTAGTAGTTCGGATTACAGAGTTGACTCCTTTCAAAATGTAAAAGCCTGAGTGCCCTTCCCAGATTTGCTGAATCTGAATTTTGGGGAGAAATTTGGGACTAGATATATGTATATGTATATGTATATGTATATATTTTTAAAGCTCCCTTAGAGACTCTGATGTGTGCCTCTGGTTAGAAAACACTAAATGAATTAATGTGTGTTTTTTCTACCCCAAGAATTTGTCAAATTGTCTGAACCTACTGTTTTGAATTTTAATACACTTAATATGCATGTGTATGCATTTTTCTTTTGCATATTTTTTCATACTCTCTTCAGTTCCTGAGAAAATTTTTTCTGTTACTTGGTGTCAAGTTGTATTACAAACTTATTAATTAGCGTTATTCTGCAAAATCAATTTTGAGCAAATGAAATGCACTGCAAAAGTTAAACGAAATTTCTGAATTTTTTTTCTTACTAAATTATAGAGACAAAAGTCAGGATGGATGCTCAAACATGGTATTTGAGAACGTCAAAGCTGGCTCTGGCCTTGGCAATTATCCGCTCGACACCAGCTGACACAAGCAGCAAAGAATACACAGAGCATCTTGCGAAGGTGGTGTCCAAGCAGGAGTCAATGTGGAGATCTAAAGTCCAAGCCTTGGAAGCTGAAGTTCTGCAATTACGCCACAAACTTCTTCTGAGCAGGATGCGTGCAGGAGTATTTAAGAGTGGTGAGTATATGAAAACGTCTTCTGTAAGTATATCATTCTGGGTTTTTATTGTTTCCTCTTTTTAAAAGATGTATTTATCCATTTTTGAGAGAAAGAGAGAGCAAGCGGGGAAGGGAGGGGCCGAGGGAGAGGGAAAGGGAGAGAATCTCAAGCAGACTCAGTGCTGAATGCCCAGCCTGATGTGTGACTTCATCTCATGGACCTGAGATCATAAGCTGAGCTGAAACTAAGAATCAGTTGCCCAGCTGATCGAACCACCCAGGCAGCTCTTTTTGTTTACTTTTAACTTAATTTTTAAAAAGATTTTATTTATTTACTTGACAGAAACAGAGATCACAAGTAGGCAGAGAGGCAGGCAGAGAGGGGGAAGCAGGTTCCCTGCTAAGCAGAGAGCCCAGTGTGGGGCTCGATCCCAGGACCCTGATCATGACCTGAGCCGAAGGCAGAGGCTTAACCCACTGAGCCACCCAGATGCCCCAACTTTTAATACAATTTTTAAAAAATTGAGTATAACTGACACACAATGTTACATTAGTTTCAGGTTACAGTTTAGTGATTGGACAACTCTGTGTGTAATGCTGTATTCACCAAAAGTGTGGCTACCATCTGTCCCATTACATTGCTATTATGGGATCATTGACTGCGTTCTTTATGCTGTGCCTTTTATCCCCAGGGCTTACTCATGCCATAGCCCGAGGGCTGTATCTCCCTCTCTCCTTCACCCATTTTGCCCAGTCTCCCTGACAACCATCAGTTTGTTGTCTGTATTTATGAGTCTGATTCTGCTTTTTGTTTGTTTATTCTTTTTTTTTTTTAGATTCTATTTATGAGTGGAATCCTATGGTATTTATCTTTCTCCGTCTGACTTATTTCACTTAGTATAATACCCTCCAGGTTCTTCCATGTTGCCTCAAACAGCACCATCTCATCCTTTCATTGTGTGTGTGTCTGTGTGTGTGTGTGTGGTTATGTGTATGGATAATATCTTCCTTATCCATTCATCTGTTGATGGACACTTAGGTTACTTCTATCTTAACTATTGTAAATAATGCTGCAATAACATAGGGGTACTTATATCTTTTCTTGTTAGGGTTTTAGCTTTCTCTGAGTAAATATACAATACTGGAATTATTAAATAATTTGATATTTCTATTTTTAATTTCTTGAGGAGCCTCTATACTGTTTTCCACAGTGGTTATACCAATTCTATTTTATTTCATCTTCAAAATTATTTGAAAATTATTTGGTTTCCTAAAACTAGATGACTTCTTCTTTGCCCTATAAAGATTTTTTTACTTGTAGTCTTCATCAAAAGTTTATTGTTACTTCCTAATGAATGAGGCTACATTAGATATTGGGATGAAGTTGGAGAATAAAAATATCTAAATGTGAAGGCAATAATGTTTTAAGCTTAGTGGATAGAATTTAAAATCTCATTCTGTAACCTTATTATTTTACTATGTATGTTATGTTGAATTTAGATTAAATAATTCATCTAACAGTCTTGTATCAAGTACCAACTATGGACCAGGTATGCAGTGGGTGGTGAGGACCCAAAAAACACATAAGAGGAACTGCTGTCCTTGCCATTAAGTACCTACCATTCTAGCAGAAAAGATAGACCTATAAATAACCCAGTGTGATAAATGCTTTAATAAAGATACTGGCAACGCACAGAGGAAGAAGCCATTCATTCTGCCTGGTTTTGAAAAGGCTTCTCAGGTCAGACACTCAAGGTTCTGTCTACTAGTCATGGTCACAGAGCATGCAGCAAGAGGCAGGGACATGACCAAAAGCAGAGAAGTAAAGTGCCATTTATACTGTCAGCATTACATTTGTGAAGTGCCCAGAACACCATGAGGGAGAAAGGAAGAGAAGTGAATTGGTGAATTGGGACCGGGTTCAGAAGGGCCTTGAATGTTAACCTGAGGACTGTTTTAGTTTATTTCTTATCAGGAAGTTGACCATAGAATTTACTGTCTCCCTAGGGCCCTGTGAGAGTGAAAGTGGGGAACCATTAATGATTATACTAGGACAACAGGTAGAAACCAAGACTCACTAGAGCATGTTGGACCCTGTGGTCACTCCATTCATCAGGAACCATACAATTTTTCTGATGCAAAGGTTTGACCCTCATATTGGGATTGGGAAAAAATTCTGGTGATTTTTAAAGAATGTAAAATCCTTTGCCTGAAACCCCTCCCCAGCTCCCAGTTATGCTTCACATTAGGTTCAGATTTGTGATCATGGCCTGTGACACTGTGAGTGATTTCACCTCTGTTTCCATCTCCCAGCTTGTCTCATACAACCTCCCCATTGTAAACTCAGCTCCAGCCAACTCTGGGCTTCCTTCCAGCCTTGGACCTTTGTTATGTTCTTCTCTTTGAATCGCTTTGTGACTGGCTTCTTCCCTTCCTAGAGGTCTTATTTTAATTGATACCTCCTCAGTGACCACTCTATATACATAGCACTCCCCACTAGTTTTTCTTTAACCAAACATCCCCTGTGGATTATTTGTTTGTTCATGTAATTGCCTCCTTATCTCCTGAGCTAGAGTTCAAGTTCACTGAGGAGAGGGTTTTGATTTGCTCGCACTCTCTATTCAATACCCACCCCAAAGCCTGACACGCATCAGGTGCTCAATAAATATTTGTCACATGGAAGAGGGGCAGAGAGGATGTTTCTGGCTGTGGCAGTGATTGGAGGCAAGGGCACCAGTTTTAAACATATTTGCCAAAACCCATATGAAGAATGATGCACTGAAATCAATCTATGCTAGTGAGAACTGAAAGGAGGTCAGACATATAAGCATGATTTTGGAGTAGACACTTCCGATATTTGTGAATGATTTCAGAGAGTGATTGACGGACATAGAGGCATTTGGGATAATGAGGTCTTCAGTCCCAGCTTATTGAATTTATTGCAATGCTTTGAATATGGATAGTGAACACTGAAATTTATTTATAGGATAAAAAAATTTATAGGATAAAAAAAATTTATAGGATTAAAAAAAAAAGAGTCCAGGTTTGTCTGAGTATAGGCTAATCCCTGAATATACAGGGATTAAGTAGAAGGAAGGTGGAGGGATGTGCCTTAAAGTCAAAGGGGAGGGGCAGGCTGGAAATAGAGACATAGACTTAGGATCCACTGACATTTAAATCATAGTTGACGTTCTAGCCATAGATGAGACTCACAGGGAGAATGGAGCGGAGGGTGAGGAGTACTGGGGATCCCAACATCCCAGAAGTGGGTAGAAGGAAAGGAGCCATGGAAAGACTATGACTATCATGTTAGGAGTGTGCAGGTGTAGTGCACACATGCCTGCTCTGGATAATAGGGCACTCACTAACTTTAGTTTTGGGTATTATCAGGAAAACTCGCTAATCTAATACCCAGATGTTACTCAAATCTCATTATTATATGAGTGAAAATGGTGTTATACAATTTATAGCCACGGTTTAGTCTCTCTAGAGTCTTCCTAGGTAATGGGCTCTTTCTATTCAATGAATGCTAATGCCATCAATATTCTTAATTATTTTATGTGCAGCTATATGATTAATATAATGCCACACACATAAAAATTTCCAGTAATCTTAAACAGACTCTTAGAAACATCTGTGATGTCAGAACTGTTGTTTACTGTCAAGTGTCTGTTTATTCCATTGCTCTAGTGGTGTGGGTGACTGGTTCAGAACATGAATGTGCCTGACAGCAAGAGCCTAGGTGAGAACTTGTTCTCACACCAAAAACTTGTACTTACAACGCCTGTGAGGGAAAATTTCAATAACCCTACAATTAAAATCCATTTTACTTGCAGCAGGAGCTATAGGTAAAATGTTTCTACACAGATGTTTGTAAGTAACTTGTCTCTCCATCTGTTAGATTAACTTGAAAAATGAGGAATAAACAGAAAGATTCAGATAAACAGAGTCACTCTTTTTTTTTTTTTTTTAAGATTTTATTTATTTATTTGACACAGAGAGAGATCACAAGTAGGCAGAGAGCCTGCTGAGCAGAGAGCTCAATGCAGAGCTCCATCCCAGGACCCTGAGACCATGACCGGAGCTGAAGGCAGAGGCTTAACCCACTGAGCCACCCAGGCGCCCCAACATAGTCTCTCTCTTAAAGGAGAAAGAATAGAGCCCAACAAAAGGGGGATATTAGATTGATAGGGAAATAAAGAAGGAACACAGCCATTATTTAAATGTCTAATTTAAAAGACTGACACAGCTTACTCTGAGAGAACTCCATACCTGAGAATCAAAACTATATTATAGATGTGTTTATATGATTAAATATTTTTGTCTGGAATTTTCAAGTTTGCTTTACATATGCAACTGTTCTCAAGTGGATAGAGACAGCAGGCTCTCAGTAAATGTTGAAAGGAATGCTTCTTGACAGATTGAGAGGCTGGGGAACTTAATTTACAGCATCAACTATCCTTTGAGCAACTGAGCAACCCAGAATTCAATAAAGCAGAGCTGAAATGGCAAAATAAACAAATAAAAAAACATGATGGAGTTTATACAGCATTTCAGTAACTCAGCTATTTCTTTATTCTGATTTATTTTTCTACATCTTCTTAGAGAGAGATAGATACTTCTTTATTATATTTATTAAAAGAATAGACTGTATACGGAAGGGGTAAATAGAACTTGCTCTTAGAATTATGCCACATTATAATTTTATTTAAATGCTCCTTAGTAGTGGGAGGAAGGAAGGGGGGGAAAGGATCAGAGAAGCCAGTGACCCATTTCTCCAAGTCCATCTAGGTAATGGCTGGTAGGCATGGTTAGATGTCTACTCAATATCTAGCTTCCTTTCTAAAGCACTTTCTACTTCCTCTCTAAAGCACTCTAATTTTGTTTTGGCAGAGATGGGCTTATTCCCAGTGGGTTAATCCATGAAAGGCTTAGATTTGTTTTGCCCATATTGTCCTAAGGTTGGGCAGGGGCCAATGAACGGTAAAAAAGCAATCTTCGGAGCTTTTGATAAAGATT